TAACGTTCTGGGATTCTGTGATTCTGTGGTCAATCTGCAGTGTTTCTAGACTCCCAGATCCTTGGTTACAGCAAGAGTCTCAAGGAAACAGGGTGAGATGTCAAAGCAAGGGCAGAGAGCTGAAGTGCCAAGTACCCTCGGCTGTCGGCTTTTTCTAAACACAGCCATGATTTATTTTGTACCTATGCGTGTAACAGGAGCAAAGCTGCAGGCCGAGCTGATCTGCACAGCAGTGGATGGATTTAATGGGGAAGGGGCTCACTGGCACAAGCACATGAGAATAAAGCTGACTCACACACACAGCAGGGATGTTGAGCTTTGCAGCTGGATCAGCAGCTGCATGACAGTGATTGAGAGAGGTTTAGATCACAGGTTTAGATCACAGCTAAGCCCACTGCTGACACAGGCTTTCTGGACACTTTGAGATGCATGAACACAAAGCACAGATTGCTCAATCATGAAAAAAATGAATGAAAAAACAAAGTTGAGTCTCTTCCAAGCCAATCTTTTACATTTAAAGAACAATTTTGAATAATCCCATCTGCTGGTTGGATCAGTGGTTTCCCAATCAGTAATGCTTCAATGGTAAAAGTGCCACAGTGTCAGTTTTCTTCTTGCCCCGCTTGCCACCTTCACTTCAAAGTGAAGATGAAGAGCACCAGACACAGACTTTGTCATAAAACACAGTTTCAGAGGTCAAAATGCTATACTGATCTTCACAAATGATATTTAAACAGGATTACATTTTGGATTCATAGCTTAGAAAGAAACCACTACAGCGATACCTGTTTTAAATCAAAAGAAACTTGGCCACCGAAATGTTTTTGGTGAAGAGCTGCTTTGTGCAATTCACCCTCCCTGCACATAGTCTGCAAAGGTGTCTGCTCACTATTTTTTAAAAACCCTTGCAGATGGTTTCAATCCTCAAAGAAAAGTCTCTGCCTTGTAATGGAAGAAGAAAGTCTAGTTGTTTATTTTAACTGCAGAAATTCAACTACGTCTCACTCCCATACACCATCCACTTCAGCTGAGGACTGATGGTGGGAGCTTGAGAATGTTAAAACAAAAGCCAGCATCACCACACCTAGAGAGCACTGTGCACTCACTCGCTGTCTATATAGCACTCCCTACTTTGTACCATTTAAAATTATTAAAATATACAGAAAAATGATACAAAAGTATCAGTGTAATTGTTTTAATGCTTACCTTTTTTTTCTCTGTGTTACAAACTTGGCAGACTATCTGGTTTAAGCAAATACAAGATAAATGGACATCGGCTCAGGCCTTTCACAGCATACTCTGTACTGGAACAGACAGCATCTATGCCCCAATCATCAGTTTGGGTACCACATGAAATGCACAGTTGAGTTCTAGGATGTCTGGCTGGAGTGGTTTGTTCATGCTCTCCTTTCAAGGCTAAATTCATATTGTTTAGTGACATTTGAAAAAGTGGGATCTACATTAAGGCACGAGTGAGGATTATTCAGAATATTCAGACGGGCTCCCTATGAAAAACATGGGTGGGAAAAAAGACTCAAAACCCCAGACCAGAAGATGCGAAGGGAAAGAACGTGAAGGAGGGGCATGTGATCAGGAATCGCAGTGATTTTATAGACATACAGCACTTTGTTTTGCTCTAAGCAGCACGGAAGATGAACTCACGCTAGGACAAAGGGGATTTGACGCAGTCCTTCTCCTTAGGAGGAGAGACTGACAGTCACACTAATAACCAAACACGATTTGCTGAGTTAGAAATGACAGTTGCTGGTAGAAATGAGTTATTTTTGACAAGTTAATTACACATAGAATTAGCAAGGTCAGAGCAATAATTACTGAGAGGTGTGAAAGGATTAAAGTAGAAAAAGCCCTGAGTAGAAGAGATGTGACAAAACCGGCATTGGTGAAAAGCCAACTCCCAACCCCATAGTTACCTTTAACACTGCAGGCATTTTTTGCCATAATACAGTAATAATTAATTATGTGGAAATCAAGTGTACATCAGCCTTCTTTAAACATGTTACAGACTTCACTCTGATTATTTTTTTTAATTTTTTTACAAGGTATCTGCAGATGCTATTCCCAATTAACTGTGGATGCTTCTTACTTAATCCTTTTTCCAGCCTGATCTTTCACTCCAGTCTCAAGTGAGGCTACTAAAGAAGGTCCCTTCCCTAGAGAGCTTCTGCTGGAGGTATGGCCTGTTCTTAGGATAAATACGGCTGAATGGATCCCAGCAGCTCTGTTCTACTGAGTTTCAAAAGCAATAGGCAAGTTTCTGTGGAAACATCTTCAATGAAATGCACTAAGTTGTAGGGTAGTATTCTAAAACCAGATGTTTTATACATAGCATTGTGTACATCCTACAGCCCAGGTAGAGCAATCTGCTGAAAAACTGACTTACAGAACATGAAATTTGATGGTTTAACTGGAGAAATGCAAATTAATAGCATCCTTCATATGGACTATTCTATGTTTACCAATGTAAGACACCATTACACTTCACAAGCTTTGCTGACTAATTCCACTGCATGCAAATAAATATGTGCAGTTGAGGTATAAGAGCCTTAATCAATGTCTTGAACAGTCTTTATATAAATACGTATCAATTCTTCCAGTCAGGAAGCAGAATTGTCAATAACTTCTTATGTTTTAAGATCTGTATGCAGGCAGGATTTATGAGAAATGCCAGCAAATTCATTCTGAGCTAGAACTTAGAGATGACTATCGATTAAGTACCTAATTAGTGTTTATGTCCTCCCCAAACAAAGCCCTTCAGGCAGCATATTGTATTGGGCCTAAATATTGCGTAAGTACAAGGCTTAAGCTTCATCCAAGATGATTAAGGCAGCATATTGTATTGGGCCTAAATATTGCATAAGTACAAGGCTTAAGCTTTATCCAAGATGATTGGGTAAATGTAAGGAAAAAAATGAGGAAAAAATATCATGTCCAAGGAATATTTACATTCAGAAACACAAAAAAAAGGTTTTCCACGTCACTGTCACTCTTTTAGTTCTCATCATCGTCATCATCCTCTTCCATGGGTTCTCGCAGACCTTCACTCTGACGACTTTTCCCAGTCATTTCTAATAAGGCCTGAGCCTCAGGATCTACATCCAGGATACTCTTCTTACCTTTCATCTTCGAAACAAAATAAAATATAGTCAATTTAAAATGTTATTATGAATGTATCACTATCAGGCTACAAAAAGAGACATACTCAAAAGTCCTCAAGTAATCTGGTTTGCAAGCTTGTCACAAGGAAGCACATACATTTTTCAAGTAAGGCACTTACGATTCACTGGGATACATCAAGTGATTTTTCTTGCTGCAGTTACACAAAACAGTCACAAACTTTTCCTAAGATAACAGTGAACTATTCCAAGTTTATTCAGGTTACAAGCCAGCCAGAACATCCTGGTTAATGTGACCTTAGTTTGAAGTGCAGATGCAAACTTCTTTTTAAAGAAGAGATTCAAATACAAGTCAGCGTTTTTTGGAAACAATTTGTTCTGTTTCTGTTTAGAGAGATGTGTTCAGTGAACAGACAGGGCACAGGAATTTAGTAGGAAAAGAAATAAAATTTTAAAAAAACGACAGCAGGTTGTTCAGACAGTTTAATAAGAGAATAAATTACAGGGTGAGACGAGACTGGAAAGGTCTCCTACTCATTCCCAGAAATCAACCAGGGGCTGAAAGACTAGCATAAATCTGTTCACATAAATTTATTGTAAGACAGTAGTAAATTTGAAGTTACCAGTAAAGAAATCTTTTGGGTTCTCTTCCTGAACTACAGATTAGGCTTTACCTGTGACCTTCCAGTGTTGTCTTTCTGTTTTACAAATACTGGGTTTTGCTGAACCCCTCCAAGGAGGTTCCTCTGGGAGACCATTCCTCAACATCAGGAAGGCCTTTTGAAGTTCAGAATAAAGTACTGCTCTTCTGACTCTGTCACCTCACAGCTGCTAATGTTCCTTCACTCTGGCACCCTCAATAACTTTTGCCATCTGCTTGCTACAAAATATATGGCAACACAGGGCCAGTTAAAGCAAGCATTGTTCATTACAACGGAAAGACTGCAACTGTAAATTTGGCATTCTCATCTCCTGTTCCAATCACGACAACATTTCACAGGTTCACCTACCCCTGTGCTTTCAGGGAGGTCTCCCACTGCCCAAACTTCCATGGCATCCAGTGTAAAATCCTCTTTAGCTGACAGCTGGGGACTGTTGTAGGTGGTGCATCGAGGTTTTGCTTTACTGTGTCCCTTCCCGTAGTCGCTGTCTATCCAGAGTCCAAAGTACCCATGCTGTCCACCCATACCCTGCGAACCAAAGCAGCACACTAAACACTTGTTGCAAATGTAAACCAGGCTGGGCAAGTTGTGAAACCTAGAATATAGATTGCTGTTTTCAGTATTTATGTATTTATTTAGGTGAAAAAGGCTATTCTAAATGAACCTGGGCTTCTGTACCCATATCCAGTAATCCTGAAGACAAACAAGAACTTACCTGAGTGACGCTGCTTCTGCTCTTTACAGAACACCAATATCTGCAAACACTTAAGCCGTATATTGAGCCAGAACTTTAGCTTATTGGCTTTTGTTTATTGACTAACAATTTCATTTTAAACAGGGTGAAAGTGCTCAGTTTTGCTCTCTTCTCCATTTAGAAAAATATCTACAGAAACAAATAACATAATTTGATGTCGTTTGCTTTCTTTAGAGCAACTTTACTCCACACTGCTGCAACTCCCAAAGTTATGGGTGCATAATGCCACAAAACTGCAGAGCATCTTTCAGACAGGAGATGTGTTGTAGCTCTGTAGAAACACTTCTGCAGCTGGAGAGCCCATTCATGGACTTGAGTAAAAGGAGCTTCTGCCACTGTAATTACACAACAGCAGCAGCCTACAAGAAACTCTGGTACTTCAATTCTGTTGGGCTTTCTCAGCCTTCCGTAATCTGAAAAGCAGTTGGTGTGGCAGTGAGAGCAGCCAGGAGAAGGATCCTCAGTTACAGAGATCAGCAAGCTTGTGCTGCTGCTGTGATGTGGACACATGCAGTCAGTTCTTCCAGACAGCAGGAAGGACTGCTAGAAGGGCTTGGTGATAACCACACTTGGCAAAAGGATTTCTTCCCAGAACCTCCATAAATCCAACCTACATAAAAGCCCACCTACTTGGGTTGGACACAAATGAATTCCATCTTAGTTGATTCAGTACTTCAATATACATAGCAACTGTAAAGAAAGTATAGACTCTGTCAGTACTGTAGGCAGTTCTCCATCGTGATCCATAGCTCATGCTTTACACTGATGCTTTAATAAAAAAACAATTTAAAAAAAATCTCCTACTGAAAGTGTAGCACAAATAGCACAGAGAAGGGATGAAAAAATTCCTCAGTGAATAACAATAGAAATAAGTGTTCATACTAACAGGAACAAAAACTACAAAACACTTCCAAACACCAGCCACAAATCCAATTTCCAGACTGTCATTTCTTAATACTTACAAGTCCATTTGGCATTGTTTGTTGGCCATGGTTCAAATACATGTAGTGGTCATTATACCCTGTGTACATGTATACAGCAAGAGACGGGAAAACAGAAAACAGAAAGCATCTGTTGTCACCTGTGAACAGAAAAGCACCTGAGGTCAGACAACTGGCCATGTAAAAACTTGCCTACAAATAGGATAGGAAAAAGATATTGAAGAAGTGCAGCTGAATACATCAAAGATAGCAGCTGCAATCTCAGAAAGCCAATGCCCATCTCTCATCATGATCTAGACTCATTGTTTGTTCTCATTTAACTTCATGCAGGGTCACAGAAATCAATGTCACTCTATGCCTGTGACCAGGGGCAGAGTCAGAGGTGTGACTTGTACACTGCAATACTAGGTAAGGGCACACCTATTACAGGCTTGCATTGCATCATCTAAAACTGGCCACCTGCTGGACCTGTACAAACTGACAGGAATACAGACAGCCTTAGATCTGACTAGATAGATATATATCAGTTTAGGGTCAGTGATTTACAATACCATTTTCATTATGCCCAGCTTGGCATTCAGAGGGACCTGTGATGTGATTGTCTAATATGGTGTTATTCTATCAGGAAAAAATACGAGGAAAGTGTTGTGTAATCAATATAACATAATATATTAACTGACTGAAGTGGCAATTATTTAATACAAATTAAGTACAGGAATTGAGTTTTTAATGCAGCAGGACAGATTATCCAGAGTTCATAATTTCTTTTTCAGAAAAACATCACTACAGTTCTTTCCAACAAGTTACTAGAAAAATTCTCTCTTCTTTCCAGAAGAGTTTCAAGGGAACAAAAAAACCTAGCTTGTCCAAAGGACCCTTTTGCTGCTGGACTTTAAAAGGGTGCAGACGGTGCACGGATGGCAAGAGGAGGCTTAACCTGGTGTTTGGCTGAGCAGTTCTGAGATGGAAGATTGCCATCTGCTGGACACGTTATTTAAACTCTATTTCATTCTCTATGCTGTACTTCCAGCGTTTTCATTTCATTTTCAACCTATGCAGCTACAGGGATTGATAGATTTCACTGAAAAGAAAACCTGTTTCATGATCACTAAGTCCTGTAATTTTAAAAGAAGTCTTATAAAATAACAGATAACAATAAACCTTAATCAGTAATATGCCTGACTGAGTGCAATGCAGGAATAGCTTAGCATGAGTGTTACTTTTGCCATGGGAAAATACACTTGGAAGTGTAAGAAATACTGCATGCCACAAAAGTAAACCGACAGTATCCATTAAGTGGACAGGATTCCTTTACCTGTACAGAACAAGCAATGTTTACCAGAGCCATGAGATACCAGAAAAAGAAAAGTGAGTTTTTACCTTGAAACTGTGGCTTTACCTCCCAGGAGTGAGATGCAAACCCACCAAAGACATAACCATCTAAGTCCTTCAAGACCACTATGCAAGGACCTTTGTGCACTATATGCCCACATAACTGTGAAAAGCTTTCTCCATGAAGCTTAGAAGAAAATAAAAGCTGCCACTTGTGCTGTAGCTCTGCAGGCAGATGGGAGTTGATGTAGATGATGGCTGGGATGTCAAAGAGACTGACAAGTCCTCTTCCTTTGATGCCTTTGCAGCCTGGAACCAGGTTGGCTATGTCTTTTGTTTGGTCTGGGAGAGAATGCAGAACATGGAGGCCTTGCCTGATAACAACACTGAGGAAAACTGAGATCTGTGGAACTCGGTACACCCAATCCTCAATAAGACTTTGATCAAACTTTGTCTCCATCATCTGAGGACCCACAGGTTTTGTCCCATCTAAATAATAAGACACACAGGAACAGAAGTAAGTCTCCCAGTCTGGAAAACAAGCAGTTGATTTTTAAGTGAAAGCACAGTATTCCATTATTTTAATGGATATGAAACAACATTTGAAAGGAGCCAGCAACAGTAAAGTGTCAACTACATTAAGCAGATACAGCCACAGAACTGCGAAACGTTTGCCTGTGACCTGGGCTGTCATGATTAAGAAACACAGACTCCTTGTTACAACTTACGAGATGTTCTTTGCAAGACAGCAAAATCTATTACAACAGTGCAAAGACAAACCTATGCTTTGCAGAAGGACATACAGCCATAAATATATGCACATGCACCCAAATGCCTGTCACCTGCAAGTCAGGTATTCATAAAATAGGCAATTCAATGACAAATTGTTCTGCATGTCCACTTAAAGCAGGACTTCAAACCAAAGTTCTCCTAAATTTAAGGGAGAAAGATGGTACAGCAAAATAAAGTTCTCAAGTCATTCACAAAGCACTTAGGTTTGAAGTACTGGTCTCATTTAAATTCCGAGATAGGACCCAAAGACAAAAATTCTTGTGAGATCAGCAGGATGACCATGAGCCTGCACTGTGCCTTTGTGGCCAAGAAGGCCAACGGCATCCTGGGGTGTATCAGGAGGGGGGTGGTTGTAGGGCAGAGAGAGGTTCTCCTGCCCCTCTGCTCTGCCCTGGTGAGACCACATCTGGAATATTGTGTCCAGTTCTGGGCCCCTCAGTTCAAGAAGGACAGGGAACTGCTGGAGAGAGTCCAGCATAGGGCTACAGAGATGATCAAGGGAGTGGAGCATCTCCCTTCTGAGGAGCGGCTGAGGGAGCTGGGGCTCTTTAGTTTGCAGAAGAGGAGACTGAGGGGAGACCTCATTCATGGTTATAAATATTTAAAGGGTGAGTGTCATGAGGATGGAGCCAGGCTCTTCTCAGTGACAAACAATGATAGGACAAGGGGTAATGGGCACAAGCTGGAACACAGGAGGTTCCACTGAAATTGGAGAAGAAACTTCTTCTCAGTGAGGGTGACAGAGCACTGGCCCAGGCTGCCCAGAGAGGTTGTGGAGTCTCCTTCTCTGCAGACATTCAAAACCCGCCTGGACGCCTTCCTGTGTAACCTCATCTGGGTGTTCCTGCTCTGGCAGGGGGATTGGATTAGATGATCTTTTGAGGTCCCTTCCAATCCCTAACGTTCTGTTCTGTTCTGTTCAGGGATTTACTACGTCAGTACTGCTTACCTGCAAGCTTCAATTCTGAGAGCAGCTGAGAAGCCAGAGCCTTTACTCCACTTGCAGAATCGCTGGTATTCTCCAAATTCCAACCTTTCAGTTCCTTCCTGTAGCTCAGTACATGGACTACAGACATGATCAGATCCTCTGTGAACTTAAAAAGTTAAAACATCACCATTTTGGCGTTTCTTAAATGAAATTGCTAAGAGCTTCAAACGGCTTCCTGAAAATAAAGTGAACTAGTAAGGATGCTGTAATCCCAATGCCAGAAACATCTCTTGTCTTGACGAGTCAGAAATAACAGAAGTGTTACTTCGGTGCCGTAAGTCTTGAAAAGTGCCCTTTCCCAAGACATTTTCTCAGTGTTACTTCACAAAACATCTCCGTAAAATACAGCAATAAAGAGGGAGCAGAGGTCCAAATTTTGCAGTGGTAGGAGCTGCTACTGAATTACTGTTTGTGAGATACCACTCTTCCACCTCGTAAACTACGTTTTTGATTCACACATCTATCCTGCTTCTCCAAGAAGCACTTTGCTCAGTTCTCAGAACCATCAGCCACCCCACAACCAACCCTTGCTGGTTCTTAAATACAGCTGAAACAGTCATCCCGTTTAACCTGGTTTGCCTGCACTGTTTGGTCCAGATCAGCAAGACAGTGGTAAAGAGATTAAAACCATACAAAAGTCAGGAATCCCTGTTCTGAATGTTGTGCTCTGAAGATTACATTCAAATTACCTACATCTCTGTTCTCTTACTGTCCCCCAGCACACATGTAACTGCCTGTTTACCTCTTGGATTTGTTTGCCCTTCACAGGCCCTTCTGTCTTGGAGATCATTCTCATTATTATGGAAATCTTCTCCTCTGCGTTCCCTTTTAAGAGGTTTGACATAAAAATTACAAACTGCTCCTTAGCAATCTGTTCACTCAGCCCAGACGATTTCCCAGTCAGGTCAATACTTTTCATTCCATTGTATAACCGAAGAGTCATTTGCTCTGGTAATGGCTCTCGCATATAAGCCTACAAGAAGAAAAAAGAGCAATGGACATGTTTTAAATATGAATAACTAATACAATCCAGCTAAGCTGAGATACACTGCTATGAATTAAGGATTTCAATACCAAGTATGTACTATCAGCAATAAACTTATGTCAAAGGATTGGTTTTCCAAAGAGGAAAAAAAAATAATCTCCATTTTTATAATATCTCCTTTCCAAGACAATTTAGTAATTTCAATTGATGCTGTTTTTCCACAAATGCCACAAAGACCCCAACACTGTAAAGTGTTAACAGGATATTAGCAAAGGATTTCTATATGATAACTCCGTTGTAAAGATTTACAACTCTGCCAGTCCAACATTTAAAATTGTGTTTTAACCCTACTTTTGATAGTGGAGCTCACAAATACTTAAAAACAAAGAATAAGTAAAGTTTTTCCATATCTCAGTTTTGGCCTTAAGAAAATGCAATGTATTTAACCCTACATGCACATGTAGAAACAATTCTGAGAAGTTTCCCTCTGCATAGCATCATCTAATTCAAGCAGGGAACAAAACTAAGATCCCTGATGTTAAGACAGCTGAAATCAAAACTTATTCTTCTAAATAGCAGGACTGGCCCTTTGAATTGAAATCTAACAGGTACACACCATCATACATCAAAATACTGTGGGAAAGATCCGAATCTGGATTGAGGAAACTTTCACAGTGTTCGAGATAATGACACGGTTTAAAAAGAAATCATCTAAAGTACATCCATACAGTAGGACATGATTACACGGTGTCTTCACCGCACAAAGCACTGCACATAACGTGCTGAACATCCGGCCTGACTCACACACAGGAGTGCAGCCCAGCAGGGACTGTGCTGAAATCAATGGAGCTCCACCTGCGTAACAGCACTCCAGCTCTACTTGGTGGAGCTGTTAATCCCGATCTATTACTGGCTCAGTACCACTCCTAATGAAGCCACCAGGGCCATTCTTGTTTTATGTTAATGGCAGTCACTGTGCATACAGGGTGAGATCCAATATGCCAAGCTCTGGATCCAATATGCCAAGCTCTGCCCTGCTTTTGTTGACGTCAGTGGTAAAATGCCCATTGATTTCAGTAAAAGCAGAATTAGCAGCCACACATTAGAGTGCTTTGTATTGAGGGAGGGACAGTCGCAGGGGGTACAGCTGTCTTTAAGAGGATGTCTGAAAGTGCTACATGAACCTGAAGTGAGACAAGCAGCAGGGAACATAATCAAAACCGCTATACTCAAGGGCTTTTTACTTCACCCTGCAGTATTACCTACCTACTCCCTACCCTTTCCCTCCCACACTAACTTTGTCACACTGTTTTGTTATACGTATAGCTATTCCAGTGAGTAGACCTGGGGTGCAAAAAAGGGGGACTGTAAAAAGGGAATCTTTAATAAACATCTAACAAACTCACACCCCTGACAGTTTAGAATCTTTCTCTCAAATGGCTTCAAGAAAGTACCTAGAGATACCTGCTCTACCTGTTTTCCAAGCTATGCAGTCCAGACTGCTCTGGTCCAGAAGCCACATAGTTTCCTTCTAGTAAAGCACTGACCATAAACAGAGTACAGGAGGTTATGAGGCGTTGACAAAGTTACCAGACTGGTGCTGACCAAATCTGCTGCGTATCAATCTATAGCTCAGGCATGAGCATGGACACCTGCGAGACAGGCATGGCATTGCAGCAGTCCCTGCACTGAAGGATTGAGCACCTACAGACAGTCTTTCAGAAGATTTTAATTCAAGCTGGCAAAAAAAAAAGGCAGAAAGGGAAAAGACAAACATTCATAAAAATGTCACATTTGTCTAGAGGCAAAGCTAGAAAGAGAACTTCTTCCAGAACCAAATCAAATAACAGGAACCAAGGACCAGGTTTTTGGAGCTATTGGTGTTGAAACGCTGGGCAGCAGCAACACTGTTTCCAAGCAGGTGAGAGCTAATAAACAGCCAGGCTGGAGGAAGGCAGATGCATTGCTAAATACCTTAAAATAACCTTCTTCTTTCGTGGAGTTTTAATTTGATTCCAGTAACTGTGTAAGATTTATATATAAAAATGCACTTTTAATACTACACTCATCTGGGCACTTGGTTCCTGCCTAACTGAAGTTATCGAGTATTGCAATGAATCATTTTCCTCTACTTTCTTGATTAGAAAATGAATGTAAAGTTAATCAGAAAGCATAATGTATGTTAATTAGCTAAGAGAGGGAGCCACAGCTTAATCAAGCAAAATTAAATTCTATCCTTTTAATGAAAGTGAAAAGATAAGAGACAGTGATACAATTGAGGGAGAAAGATATAATCAAATACAAACAGTTTGTGACAGCTTCTCAAGAAAACCTGTAAATAATCACACACTATGGACTCCAGGGGGAAGAATATTCCTCCCATTTGTCAGGTTTCTGTAAAAGTATTTTCATACATCCCAACTTGCTTCAGAACCAGGAAAGCTGTAAATTGACCCAACAGTGCGATTTCAGAGATAGAAACCTGAAAGCCACAACTCATGTTAAACTGTGAGAAAAAGTTAAATACCCATCCTGCCCCAAAGCATTAAGTATTGAATTGAGATGAGCAGTCCTTAAAAATTAACTATCGCCACACTTTTAGTTTCTCTCTGGAATTATGTCCAATGCACTACATCCCAGATATATCAAGAACAACAGATTGTCTTGCCTGTAGTGCTGCCAGTGTCACAGTTTTCTTTGTAGCTTTGCCATTTTTTGCTCCAGCTGAGCCACTCGGTCCTGATAAGGTATCAAATACTCCATCAATGTCAGACTGCTCCTCGGGAAGAAATCTGGAAAGGTGATTCTGATAGGCATTGCTTTCTGCATTTCCCATCTTCTCAACCTGAAGCAAAGGAAAAGGAACAGAAAAAGCCCAGTAAACACTAAGGTATCACAATGGCCATGAAAGACACGTCACACAGGTTAACATACCAGTGCAAGCTGTACAGAGGAGCAAGTCTTCAAGGAAACTATTACCAGAACTACTGTTTAGTCTCTGTAGTCACTGAGACTTAAAGAACTTGAAGAACATCCGTGAGCAGTCACCGTGCTTTAAAAACTGACAATCTGTCAGCTCTTTGCTAAGACCACCCTGTCTACCAATGCAAACCTCATTCAAGCCTTGTCAAATGGAAAAACCAATATGATTTAATGACTAAATTAGTTTGTACAAAGTGACCGTGAGTCTGTCAGCTGGAATACATCATGTAACATTTAGGGAATAGTCTGATTATGGATTATTTATGACAGTTTATGCTACATCTTTCTGATGCATTAATGGGCTGAAGCTAAATTTGTCAATAATGTGTGGCACCAAAACACCACCACTGTAAAGTCTCTGAAGATGACATGAGAATGTTTTTTCTAAGGACACAGTACAAAGATCATTCAAAAAGCTGCCAAGAAACACAGTAACAAAAACATTGAGGAAGATGACTCAAGACCCATCAAAATGACATAGATACACACAAAGTCAATAAATTGCTGAGAGCTGGTACCCATAGAATTAAGGTTGTGGGGATGGTGGGTTGTTTTACACATTTAATGGTCCAACTATGATTTCTCTCACTGTCCCAGGATTCACCTGCATTACAGAGACTAATTTCTTAGTGTTGTCTGGGCCACATGCTCTGGCTTCCTCTCTGGAGCAGCACAGCACAAACCTAACAGCACCACAGCAAAATCCCAAAATCTACCATGACTGCAATGAGACTTCACTGTAAACAGCCTTCCCATCGACCCAGAGCAGACACGCTCCTGGGGTGCAAGACAAGTAAAATAAAACATCCTTTAATAACTTTTTTTTCCTCACAAATTCCATGTCCTTTCTGACACATCGCTTTTGGTTCAGGATTCCCAGTTTCACTGAAATCTCTTTTTGCAGACACAGCCCTTCAGCAGCCTCAGGACTGTTTGTTCAGCCTAACCCAATCTTTTTGTCATTAACTGGTACTGACTTTGATAAAACAACTGTACCTAAGAGCCTGGGTTGGGCTGCTTTACCTTCCCTAAACAGCACAGGCCCAAAAGCCTTGTTTGCCTGTGCGGAAGATGTAGACAGTGGGGTAAACACCAAAGGGTTAATGGAAACGGCTGTAACCTGGAAGACACACCACGAATACATGATTAATTTAATCAGCGAACGGCTGGAGAAAGGAGGTCCTTGACCCCTCTCTCTCAGCCCCGGGAAACACAAGCAGGGGAGGCTCCGGCCGCGGCAGGGCCGGCCCGGCGGGGCTGTCCC